CACAGTTAATAAGTGGCAAAACCAGAATCTGAACCCTAACAGTCTGACCCAGGAGAGCCTGCGATTTGAAACTATCCTATGTGCATATAAAAAGCACTTGGCACAGTGTGTAGTTAGCATGCATCAGTTAATATTTATGTTTAGGCTATTTTTAAAAAATAAACATGTCAAAAGAATGAGAAGACAAGCCACTGACTAGGAGAAAATATTTGCAAAAGATTGGTAAAGGACTGTTATTCAAAATATATAAAGAATTCTTAAAACTAAACAGTTAAAACACCAACAATCTGGTTAAAAAGTGAGGAAAAGATTTGAACAGGCTCCTCATCACAGAAGATATTCAGATGGCCACTAAGCATGCATTATATGTTACTAGGGAATTGCAAATTAAAACGAGGAAATAACCAGTACACACCTGTAAAAGTCTACATGGACAGCACCAAATGTTGGCTAGGATGTAGAGCAGCAGGAACTCTCGTTTATGGCTGTTGGGAATACAAAATGGTATAGCCACTTTGGAGGACAGTTTGGCAGTCTTACAAAACTAAACATACTCCTACCATGCGATCCAATAATTCTGTCCCTTGGTGCTCACCCAGAGAAGTTGAAAACTCATGTCCAAGCAAAAACCTGCATACAGGTGTTTATAGTAGCTTTATTCATGATTGCTAAAACTTGAAAATAACCAAGATGCCTTCAGTAGGTGAATGGATAAACACATTGGCACATCTGTGTAATTGACTGTTATTCAATGCTAAAACAAAATTGGCTATCAAGCCATAAAAAGACATGGAGGAACCTTAAAAGCACGTTACTAAGTGAAAAAAGCCAATCTGAAAAGGCTACATACTGTATAAAATACAAAACTATGGAGATAGTAAAAAGATTAGTGGTTGTCAGGGGTTAGGAAGAAGGGAGGCACAAATAGGCAGAGCATGGAGGATTTGGGGGGCAGTGAAACTATTCTGTATGGTATTATGATGGAGGATACATATCATACATTTGTCGAAAGCCATAGAACACACATCAAGAGTGAATCCTAATGTAAACAATGGACTTTGTACATTCATCATTTGGAGCAAATGTACCACTCTGGAGCAGGATGTTGATAGTAGGGGAGGCTGTGCATGTGTAGGGGAGGGGAGTGTATGGGAACTCCCTGTACTTTCTGCTCAGATTTGCTGTGAGCCTAAAACTACTCCAAAAAAAAAAAAGTTTGTTTTAAAAATAATAATAAAATTAACAAAGCAAGTATGCATTTATATGTGTCTGTGACACTTTTGATACTTTCATATTTAGGCCCAGAATAAAGAGACCAGTGTTTTAGCTGCTGCAAAAGTGATTGACACCAAATCTGAAGAAGAACTTGAAGATTACATGGTTGAAATTGATATATTAGCATCTTGTGATCACCCCAACATAGTCAAGCTTCTAGATGCCTTCTATTATGAGAACAATCTTTGGGTAAGTATTTTCTGTTGAACTATGGGAGTAGCCAAAATGACTTAATTGTTGTAAAGAGGTTTATCACTTGTGAAAGCCTGTTTTATGTGGTACCTTTTCTGTTTAGTTAACGTATGTTACTTGAATGAGAGTTGATCTGCTGATGAGAGGGTCATTAATGACATCCTTAGCTTCAACAGATATTTAGATGTGTATTTCAGATTGTACCATACTTCATGACTGTTTGATATTAAATCCAAGTGGAGAAACTTCGTTAAGAAAATTAAATTTCCTAAATAATGAAATTAGATAGGCTTTCGTGTTTTGAATTTAAGCATTTACTTAAAATTTGTTTTTTTAAGTTTATTTTGTTTTCCTATAAATTGTTTATAATTTCTTACCCTACACTTTTGGCAAATCATATATTAGATTATAAAATGCTTACTAGAGAAGAGGGTGTAGCTGACTGGTAGAGTGCACACCTAGCATGCACAAGGTCATGGGTTCAATCCCCTAGTACCTCCATCAAAATAAATAAGTGAACCTAATTACCTCCTCCAAAACAAAAAACAACAAAAACAAAATGCTTACTAGAAATGTTAAATATTTATTGTATATATTATCAAACCCACCTTTAGTACATGTTGTAGTAGCTAAGGCAGTATGTAAAAATTTTGTTCATTTTTAGAAAATATTAAGCACAAAAGATATATAAATAAGATATTAGTATTTTTTATAATAACCAGTAATTCACTTCCTCTGCACCAATACTAATTTAGTCAAGAGGGCTTTTTCTTTTTGTTTTGTTTGTTTTGGTTGGGGAGGTAATTCAGTTTATTTACTTATTTATTTTTAATGGAAGTACTGGATTTAACCCGGGACCTTGTGCATGCTAAGCACGCACTCTACCACTGAGCTATACCCTTCTCCCAAGAAGATTTTTAAAATGGAGTTTTAGTTGTTCTTAAAGGACAAAGCAAAGCGTTATGAAGAAAGAGTAGATAGTATAAGCTATACCTGATTGGGAATCAAAAGGCCTTTTTTAAAAAAAATTTTGGTGATGTTAGGCATGAGCTTGAATAAGTCAGTTGACCTTTATGAGTCTGTTTACTCACCTATAGGGTTAGTAATGATCTACCTCCCCAATTATTTTTCATATGATGTAATGAATTTGAAAGCAATTTATAATTTGCAAGCTCCTATAAAAAGTAAAGTGTTGTTCAGGGTCCTACTATATAGCACAGGGAACTATATTCAATGGCTTGTGGTAACCTGTAATGAAAAAGAATATATATGTGTATGTATAAGTGAATCACTGTGCTGTACACCAGAAACTAATACTTCAGTAAAAGAAAAATCAACTATACTTCAGTTTTAAAAAAAAGTAAAAAAAATAAAGTGTTATACAGAGGGGGAAAAAGTATGAAGCTGTACAATTTGTTAAGATGTGTAGTTTAAAAGAAATTATCTGAAAAAATTATCTGTAGTTATTATTAGTGTAGTGTCTTGTAATATGATTGTTTAGGGTTCTAGCAGAATGTTTCCAGAGATTATAATGAAAATGAATTCCTAGACAATTTAATAAATAGATAAGATCTTTACTTGAGACTATATTGCAAAATAAAGAAGTTGGACAACTGTGAGGGACAGTCTGTTGGGAGAGATAGGCATTAATTTAAGAACCACAGTAGATACAAAATTACAGCTATGATAAGGGTTAAGAAGGAAGGTACATGGTGGTGTGTACCAGGGAGGTCTGGGAAGGCATCCATCAGGAAGTCATAATTGAGCTAGGATCAGAAGCTTTTGTGTATATATACATATATATTTTCTATTTTTTAAAAAAACAAAAGCAGTCTCTGTTTCCAGGGTTTATTCCTATTAGTAAGGATAAAAATATACTTGATCACTTAATTCACAATAGTTACCTTTAAAAAGGAGAGTAATAAAATCTTTCAGTGGTAATGAGATGGATATATAATACTGTCCTGAATAAAAATTCTGTACCTGGTTATTTTAGAGAAGCAGGGACACTAAAAATGGTGATTAACTCAAAGGCACATACTTCCACAATGTGTTCTCTTTGTGCTTTCTCAAATGTATATCATTAAGACTGATAACTCTTTTGACAAAGGAAATCTTTATGGTTAGCATGATATCATTTCTGTAACCTAGGTTATTTGATAGCTATTCCTTTATCTTTTTTGCTAAATTGAAGAAGAACTACTTAGACTCAGTATCATGTTAGATACATGCTTTTTTATTTGCCTGCAGATCCTCATTGAATTTTGTGCAGGTGGAGCAGTGGATGCTGTGATGCTTGGTAAACGCCTTTTTGTTCTTTATGTTATCTTGAATTATACTGTAAAAAGTCAAAGAATTTCAAACATTTATATATATATATAAATATATATTACATATACATAAATATATTTTAAATATTTATCTTATTTTTTTTGGCTTTTAAAATAACATTTATTTATTGAAAGCTAACGTGTGCATAATAGGAAACCAAAAAACACAAGAAGCAAAAAACAAAGCAATCCATAATCACAAGCAGTTTACAGTTTGATGTGTCCTCCTAATATTTATCTTATTTTTGAGTGAAGTTCAATAAGTTAAGAAATCAGCTTAATTATTTTTATATTCTTGGATAGTTGTAATAAAATTCTAAAATGAAATATTGAGTATAATATGTAGAGAAAGTAATTTTTATAGACACTTAGTTTTTAAAAAATAAATTCACTGTATATGATCCTTGACAGTGATGGTAAAGGTATATAGCCTGCTGATATGTTTTCACTGTATAAAAATGCAGATTTGTTTACTTTTTCCTTACAGAGCTTGAGAGACCATTAACTGAGTCCCAAATACAAGTAGTTTGTAAACAGACTTTAGAGGCGTTGAACTACTTACATGATAATAAAATCATCCACAGAGATCTAAAGGCTGGCAACATTCTTTTCACCTTAGATGGAGATATTAAGTTGGGTAAGTTTATTCCATTAAATACAACATTTGAGTTTGTGCTCTGAGATTTCCCCTTATATGTTTGTAACTAAATGTTGTTTTGTTATGACTCAAATATGTGAAACATGGAGAATTACTCCATGTTAATTTTTAATTTTGAATAATTATGCATTAACTCCCAGAATTCCTAAGTATAGGCTCCTAATATAAAGACACTTTAAAAAGAAAAAAAGCATAAATACAGGACAGAAATAGACTCATAGACAGAGAATACAGACTTGTGGTTACCAGGAGGGTAGAGGGTGGGAAGGGATAGACTGAGATTTTAAAATTGTAGAATAGATAAACAAGATTACACTGTATAGCACAGGGAAATATACACAAAATGTTATGATAAATCACAGAGAAAAAAATGTGACAATGAGTGTGTATATGTCCATGAATGACTGAAAAATTGTGCTGAACACTAGAATTTGACACAACATTGTAAAATGATTATAAATCAATAAAAAAATGTTAAAAAAATAAAATAAAAAGAAAGTAAGAAAGGATGGATTTTTATTTTTAAAAAGGCACACTTTTAAAAGACTGGTTAATTATTTTTTCCCTTCAATTTTTATATGCAAACTTAATACTTGTAAATATAATACATTTAGAAAATGATATAGTAGCTAAAACTGCTAGCTTAGTTTTATCTTCATTTCCAAAATTCATATCTAGTGGTTTTCTTTTTGCATGTTTTGTTTTATACTTTACTTTATAGATAACTGTATCTTAAATTAACAAAGTAACTAACCTTAGTCTGAAAAGGATGCCTAAAATAAGTATAGGGACTATATTTTTAATTTTGTTTTTATACTGGAGGAATAAATGATAATTTTATGTGAAGAAATAGATGTAGATTTTAGGTAGGAAATTAATTAATTTCATATATACATGTACAAATAAAAGAGAAAGTCCTCTTTAAGTATTTCCAAGATGTGAATTTAAAAAAAATCTAGTGATGAAGTCTAAATCTGTGTATTTTGGAAGAATGTTAAAAGGATAAGATACATTCAAAAGCCATATTGATAGCAGTGATCATAGTCATTTCATTTCACTTTGTCATGACATGCAAATTTGATATATTACTAAATTTGATATACTACTAAATTTTAACCTCTTTATAAGTAAACAGTTATATAGCTTAATGACTTGTAGCTTTGTAGACAGTAGCTTTGTGACCACCACCTAGATAAAGAAATAGAACTGTGTCTGGTACCTAGCAGCTCTTTCATGGGCCCACCTCAGTCGCTGTCACTCCCTTCTTCAAGATAACCCTTTTCCTGACTTTTATAGTAATCACTTTCTTGTGTTTTTTTTAATGGCTCAATATTTATTTCTAGACATTAGAGTTTAGACTTACCCATTTGAAACCGAGTTTTCTTTCAAGTCTTTTAATTTATGAGTCTCGCCTGCACCAGTTTCTTTCTTCTCTTTGTATTTTATCTATGGCATGCATTCTCATGGGATGCTTTCTCAAGGAAAGTTGGTTCTTTGGGGACAAAAGAATTTCAGTGTTAAAATGATTATGACCCACCAAAGTATATAGTATATCTTTGGCATTAAAATTTTGTGGGGGGAGGGAGGATTAGAACAAAATATCTTTAAAAGGCTTCTAGTGAGAGTGATGATGAAAAAAAGGTTGAGAAACACTGATCTATAAGACCTGGGCTGTTGGACCTGTAGGGTTTCTGTCATCTTGCATTTTGCTGGTTGCATACTCATGATGACTTTCTAAAGTTCCTCTCTGTATTTCTTTCAGTTTGCAGATGTATCCAAAAACCTCATCAGTCTCAAGTTTGATTTTTTAGCAAGACTGTTGGTGGTTTTATGTTCTTTCATTGGGAGGCATGCAATACTTGCTTTTTGCTCTATTTTGATGTTAGCAGCTATTGATGCTTAATATCTAGGTCTGTTCTTTGATTGAAAGAGCCAAATGAATTCTATCATTTTGTTTTCATTTATTATTTTTGATAATAATTTTGATATAATTATTTATCAGTTATTTCATTATGTTCATTTATTATCATTATAAAATTAGGAATACTTATATAAGAAGACACTTCCCTTCAGCTGTTTGGTTATTCAGGAGTATAATTCATATGGATAAGACAGGAAAAATGCTTGATTCTTTTTTTATTTATTTAGCTTTAAAGACAGTGAATTGGTTCTCTTTCTTTAGTTGGTGACCAGTATTTTTTAAAATGTCATTATTAATTCATGAATTTAATTTTATTTTGTAGTTTTCAAATCTGTTACATTTTTTATCCTTATTAAAGCTCACATTGTACCATCTTGGTCAATTGGAACCTCTTCAAGTTGGCTTGTTAATCTTTTTTGGCATGACTCTAGTAATCTTTGATAGCTTCCTTGTTGTCTGTTAGGTTGAGTTGTTTCAGGCTCATCGTGCATATTTCCTGCCTCAGACCTTCAGGAAGCCCTGAAGAAGATTTAGCAGGATGTGGTACTATTTTAAGACCACAGACTGCATGTTAGAGATGCTTATGGTTTCTGGACTGGCCTTCATTCTAGGCCTCTCCAAAGGACAGAGGTAGGCTCTCATTGAGTGCCTATGTATTTCCTATTCAAATTCAGGATCAAGCCTTTTTCCCCCCTCTGTATTACATCTGTTATTTCCTTCTATCCTGAGAATGTTGGTTCTCAAGGACATTGATGATAGATTTGGAATATTCTGTAATTACTCATTTTAACTTTCATTTCTATATTCAGTGCTCACCACCAGTTCTTATGTTGGTATCTCTTTGGTTATGTTGGTTGTCTGAAGTTCATTCTCTGGTGGATTTCTCTGGAAGGGCTCTCTGAGTTCTTGTAAAATGATAATAGTTCTACCCTTTATACTTTGAAGGTCAGTTTTGCTGGATAGAAAATCCTTGGCTGACATTTCTTTCCTTGAATATCTGAAATGTGTTACTCTGTTTTCTTCTGTCAGAAAGTGTTGTTGAAAGTCTGTTGATTATCTGATTTTCTTTCTCTTAAAAGTCATGTGCTCTTTCTGCTAGTTGCTAAAGAATTGTTTTCTTTGAAGGCCAACAATTTAACTAAACTTTTCTCCCCCTCTGCCAGGAATTTTTTCTGTAATTACAGATATGAGTATTTATTCTGTTCCCTTGCATTGATTTCCTTCTTTAGGGATGATTATTATATGTTGGGTTTGCCAATCATAAGTATGTAGAACTTTCTCTCAAGTTCTTTTTTATCTTCTTCATTTTTTTTTCATTGAGGGGAAATATAATTAGCAAAATTTACTCTCCTAACCATTTTTAAGTATACAGTTCTGTAGCATTAAGTACATTCATTTTGTTGTGCAGCCGTCACCACCGTCCATCTCCAGAACTTTTTCATCTTCCTCAACTGAAACCCTGTACTCATTAAGCATTAGCTCCCCATTTCCTCCTTCCTCCAGCCCCTGGCAACCACCATTCTATTTTCTGTCACTGTGAATTTGACTCCTCTAAGTCCCTCATATAAGTGTAATCATACAGTATTTATCCTTTTATGACTGGCTTATTTTACTTAGCATAATGTCTTTAAGTTTCACCCATGTTGTAGCATGTGTCAATTTCCTTTCTTTTTAAGACTGAATAATATTCTGTTGTATATGTATATACACACAACACTTTATCCGTTCATCCATTGATAGACACTTTGGTTGCTTCCACCTTTTGGCTCTTGTGAATAATGCTGCTGTGAACATATGTGTACAATATCTGTTCAAGTCCCTGCTTTCAGTTCTTTGGGGTATAAACTTAGAAGTAGAATTGCTGGATCATATGGTAATTCTCTGTTTTATTTTTTGAGGAACCACCATAAAACCATTTTCCACACTGGCCGCACCATTTTACATTTTCACAGCAATGTACGAGGGTTCCAATTTCTTCACCTCCTTGCCGACACTTGTTATTTTCTGTATTTTTGATGATTGCTGTCCTAATGGGAGTGGCATGGTGATGCATGGGAATTTGTTATGTCTGTTTCTTCTTGTATTCCTCCTAGTTTAGCCTTTATTTCAAAAATGATTTTTCATTTCTGTTTTCCCTTGAGTTCTGTCAACTCATTTCTGAATTTTAAAATTCTGACTTATGTTACTCTTTTGTCTCATCATTTTTTAAAATCTTGTAGCTCAGTTTGAATAGTATGTTACAATTTTGATCCATTTTTGGTACCTTTTTCTGTAAATGTACTAAAATCTTATTTGAATACAGAAATGTACTTTGTGTAAAATAGTGCATACCATTAAAAGTAAGTATATTTTTTAAGATTTAGGAATGCTAAAATAGTTTTGAATTGGTTGACATTTAAAATAATTGCGATTTGTTTCATTAATTCATAAATACAGAAAACCTTCCATTTCTGTGACACCCTGTTAAGTGTACACAGATGTATGTAGAACCATTTTATCCTCACGAACCATATAATAAATTACAGTAACTGAATTTCTATGATGCTCTTACCAGATCACATTGTTGCAAATGGAAATAAGTATGTAAAAATGCTGTTTTAACAGACCAACATATATATGCCACATCATTGTAAGTAGAACTATAAAGCACGTAGTGACCTTAATTTTCTCGTTTGCACAAAAATGAAGATGCCTTTTTGTCCCTCCTTAGTGTCTACTTCTTGCCCGTAAGTGTGGTTAGAGAGGTATAAATGTTGACAGTGGACATTTGTTGTTTAGGCCTGTTTCTGGACCTCCTTTCCCAGTCACATGAGGGGAAAAATGTTAAAATGAATAGACTGTTAATAGGTTCTAGGGAAACACTAGGATAAGTACTGAGCTGACTTTGCCTAAGTAGAAAACCTCTTCTGGCAGGAATTTCATGTTGTGATCTCAGTCCCTTCCTGCAGAAACATGAGAAGTTGTAAATTGAGGAAGTTGGGGTTAAGAGGGGTGGAGTGTCCTGAATACACCTATTTATGTTGCATATATCTTCCAAGTATAGTATGTTCTATTTACTTATGCATTTATTTAATTATGAAACATTAATGAAATATCTAACATAGTGAAAGACTTCATACACCATATTAGGAATAGGTAGCTGTCAGTCTGTTTTGAGCAAGAGAACCACATGGTCAAAAAAAGGAAAAAAACTGTATAATAGACACAAATAATTGGAATACAAGACAAGGTTTCATGAGTTTTAAGAATTCTACCAACAAAATACTGCGAAGGTTAAAATTATACATATGGTTAATAATAGTAGCTGCCATTTATTGTGTGTAAAGTCTGTGCTAGGCCTTGGGGCATGAACACCAAGTACTGAATTTTTGGTATTTATTCAGTTTGGAGAATTGTGACATGTGGAAGTTATTTCTCTTTCTGTTCTGCTTACCCTTTAGTAAGAGTGGCCTTCTTAAAGCCTTGATATGCTTATCCCTTATGTTGAATACAGTGAACTTTGCTTAAAAACTGTCATTAATACTTCTGTTTGATTATTTATTTCAAGCGGATTTTGGAGTATCAGCTAAAAACACAAGGACAATTCAAAGACGAGATTCCTTTATTGGCACACCCTATTGGTATGTGTTCAGTTTTATGGGTTTGCAGCATTAGTTATGTCAGCAGTTATTATTACTCATTAATTTTTTCCCACATAATTGATTATACTGTCTGTCTTTTATGTGGTTTGTAATCACTATTCTTAAGTTGAACATTTTAACTTTCAATTCTCTGTCTTCATAGGATGGCTCCTGAGGTAGTCATGTGTGAAACATCCAAGGACAGACCCTATGACTACAAAGCTGATGTTTGGTCCCTGGGTATCACTTTAATAGAAATGGCTGAGATAGAACCACCTCATCATGAATTAAATCCAATGCGAGTGCTGCTAAAAATAGCAAAATCTGAGCCCCCTACGTTAGCACAGCCATCAAAATGGTAAAGTATTCCTGAACAAAGCTTTTTAAAAAGCAAAACTTGATGCTTTATTCTTCCAACTTTCCAAGGTATTTAAATTTAGGTACATGGTACAAAGACTATATGAAGTAGAAAACTGATTTTTGGTATATTTTCAAGACTTAAGGACCATGTAAACACTTACAACTAACTTTCTGTAGAAATTAAAAAATACCAGTGATTTGATTTCTACATGAAAAATTTATTTCCTGTACTATGAGAAAGTGAGGCATTTATGTGGTTAGTTTATATTTGTGCAGTTTAATATAATAGAAGATTTTTGTGATTTTTAGCATATTTATGAATATGAGTGTCTCAGTGACTGAAACTATGAACCTACTTACATATATGTCTAACTTGTATTTATAGATGAATGACTTATGAAACACTAATATTCTCATTAACTAGTTTTCTTATGTTGAATTCACATTATCCCATACATAAGAGAACTTAAGCATAATTTATCAGAGTTTTTATTTTAATAACAAGAAAGTAAAATAGAATGTCATTATAAAAATTTTTCTTTTGAAGGTCTTCAAATTTTAAGGACTTTCTAAAGAAATGCTTGGAAAAAAATGTGGATTCCAGATGGAACACATCTCAGCTACTGCAGGTAGGATAAGAGTAGTATGACAGCAGACCGTGTGATTTTTATAACATCTCTTTAAGATTACAGTTTCAGGCGGAAGGATATAGCTCAGTGATAGAGTGCGTACCTAGCATGTACAAGGTCCTGGGTTCAATCCCCAGTTCCTCCATTAAGAAAAGAAAGAAAGAAACTTAATAACCCCCTCCAAATTAAAAATAAATAAAGGAAAAAAGAAAAAGAAGAATAGTTTCAGATTGATTCAGTGTGCACTCTTTCCACTTGAGTTTTCCTGTGGAAACTCAAAATACATTGTAGTAGTTAACATTTGCTTTGCAAACATACCTGCTGCTGTTAATAAAAGATATTTAGCTTGTAAGTGCTTCCTCCTATGCTTTTTTGATTCAGTTTGTGTTCTTTTCATTTTGTTTAGTTATTTGCATTTTGTCAGTTACTTCCATTTTTGTCTGTCCAGTTACTGGAAAGCAAGCACCTTGGCGGCAGGAGCCATGAGCTAATTAATTTTTTTTAATGTCTCTTACAATGAGGGTAAATTTTCAGTAAATATTACTGACTTTAAAGAAATGGTGTTAAAGTGATTGGATAATTTTGTTTTATAGCAGGAGCTGTTTGTATCATTTGAAATGAAGTTTTGTCAAATAATAGTACAGGCGGACAAACAGAATGACTAGTCTAGAGGCAGTTACTGTTAGGTTGAGTTATTGTGTAACTTCTACATTACAGTTTTTAAGGTTGATCTGTTTATCTAGGGGGGGGGAAGCAGGAAAAATTGCCTTCCTCTGTGCAACAAATGTATCCCTGGAACACACTTTCTCTTCTTATTTCGCCATCTCCACATTTGAAAGCCTTAGTCTGTGACAGACATCAAGTGCTGAGTGTACAGAGATGAATAAAATATCTTCTTACTCTTAAGAGTATTAGAATTATGTCAGAAAAGCAGGTGTTGTAGACACTTTTAACAGAACTCCAAAGCTTTTTGTAATTCTTTTATCGAGGCTTTTATACAAGATATAATTGTATTGTTACTTTTTACGAACTAGTAATGCACTTGAAACCTGCTTTAAATTTTAAATTTTAGGTTGTGAAATTTTCAAACATACAGAAAAGTACATGTACCTACTACTCATATGTAATATATTTTTGACATATTTCCTTCAGATTCTTAAAAAAAAAAGATATAGATATAGTTGCTGGCAGCTCCTACTCCTGTTCAGTCCCCTCCCCCTCTTTCCTTCCTCAGATGTAACATCATCTGAAGTTTTGTAATTTTCTTACTTATATGCCTATATTTTTACCACATAATAATGTGTTTTATGTATTTTAAACTTACTCTATAAGCATTTTGGCTGTTACACTGAGCATACTTTTTTTAATGATCAAACAGCATCCTTTTGTTACTGTTGATTCCAACAAACCAATTCGAGAGTTGATTGCAGAGGCAAAGGCTGAAGTAACAGAAGAAGTTGAAGATGGCAAAGAGGAGGATGATGATGAGGAAGCAGAAAATTCTCTGGTCAGTATTTAGAAAGGAAATTCCATTTAGGTAATTTTTAGATTTGAGTTTTAAGGTATGATTGCACCAATAACAAAGAATTAATTTGGAAAAGAATATGAAAACAAATATAGGTATATATATGCGTGACTGGGACATTATGCTGTATACCAGAAATTAATACATTGTAATTGACTATACTTTAATTAAAAAAAATTAATTGTTGGCTAGCAATACAAAACTTTTAATTTTAGAGGTGCAGAATAGTAACAAGTTTGCTTTTTGCTATCCATTTTTGTCACATGTATTATTTGAAGATTTGTCAATTCTTTAAATTATTTTTATAATTTCATCAAATTTACTGAATAAAGATATTAAATCATTGTATGTATGAATTAAATCATTTATATATAAAATAATTCATATATATACGTGAAACATTGTTTTGGTCACCATTTTGAAGTTACGTTTTAACACTAAAAATGTGTGAAATCTTTTTTAGCCAATACCTGCAAGTAAACGTGCCTCCTCTGACCTTAGTATTGCCAGTTCTGAAGAAGATAAGCTTTCACAAAATGCTTGTATTTTGGAATCTGTCTCAGAAAAAACAGAACGTAATACTTCCGAGGATAAGTTTAACAGTAAAGTTCCTACTGAAAAACCCACCACTGATGAGCCTGAAAAAGCTGCAGTGGGCATTAATGATCATGTTAATGATGCTCCTTTAGAAGCTATGGCTGAACTCCATAATAGAACAGCAATAATCAAGGAAAATGGGAGCGAGGAAGAGAGACCCAGGCTTGAAAATCTACTTGGCACAGAAGGCCATGAAACAGTGGACATTAATTCAGTCAATGAAGGAAAAGAAAATATAATGATAACTTCAGAAACAAATACTGAACAGAATCTGAAACCCGAGGAAGAAAGGGATCAGGAAAAGCAACAGATATTTGAAAATAAGGTTATAAAAACTGAAGAAATTGAAGATACTGCTATTCAGACAATGGATTTAGTTTCTCAAGAGACTGGAGAAAAAGAGGCGGATGTTCAGGCAGTTGAAAATGAAGTTGAGCTTACAAAGGAAGACACCCAAGAGAAATTGGGAAAAGATGACAAAACTGAAAAAGATGTGGTCAGTAATACAAGCAATGTGTTAGGGACAGAGGAGGCAGTAGATGTGCCTCCAAAGGCAGCTGGAAACAGTCCTGTGGATGCTCAGGGCAGTGATGGGAAAGAAGTGGGTGAAGTAGGCCGGAAGTTAGTGAGTAAGCCCACAGAGGGTCCTGAGGCTGGTGGTACTGAGGAAGTTTCTATTAAAGAAATAGCTGAAACAAATGAGATAGATAAAAAACCTGTAGAAGGAAAAGGTGAGGAACAATTAATCAGCAGTTCAGAGAACATAGTGGAGACCAATGAAGAACCTGGGACAAATCAAGTTGAGGATATTACTGAATCAATTAACGCTGAAGGAATAGAGATCAGAAGTGCAAAAGAAGCTTTAGAAAGTGAAACTCAGGATGCTCCTAAAGCCACTGCTCAGATAGATGCAGAGCAAGAAGAAATTCCATGTGAAGTGCCAATTGAAACAGAACCCCGAGTTCCTGCTGCTTCACAGCCCAGTGAACCTCAGCCTGCTCCAGTGCCCAGTATTAATATCAACCCTGAAGAAGCAGAAAATAAAGGGGAAATAGGTGCTTTGTCAAAAACTGAAACCATGTTACCAGAATCTGAGAGTCAAAAGGAAAATGATACTGATTCAGGCACTGGTTCCACTGCTGATAATAGCAGCATTGACTTGAATTTATCCATCTCTAGCTTCCTAAGTAAAACTAAAGACAGTGGATCAATATCTTTACAAGTAAGTATATATGGGTCCTTGTTTGGGTTTTTCTTTGTCATTTTGGCAGTTGAGAGTTTATGTGAAACTGATGTCTTGAAAACAAAACAACACTAAATCAGTGTAGTATTAACCCTATGAAATTCTTAGGGCCTAAGAAGTCAGTCATTTAAAAGAAAACCTAGAGATTCTAGGTGTAATTTTTAATTTTTTGGTAGCACCTATCTGTTTTGCCAACTTGACATAAATATTGTAATATATTTGCTTATTGCAATTTGGGTTCTCTTTGCTCGTGTTGAGGTATTATTTTAGCAAGAATCAGTAATAAAGAATTGAGGACTTGAACGAATGATCTCTTTTTAAGAATGTTTAGGGTATAAACAGCCTTGATTTACCACTGGCCCATGCAGGTGACTCCTGCCTTCTCAGTCATAGCCATCACTATTGCCATGAGAATCAGACATTAAAAACCCAGAACACTTGGAGCTGTTGGAGCATAACTCTCAAATCTTAATGTGCTTATGAGTTAGTAGGGGGAGCTATGTAGAAGTATGGAGTGGGGCTAAAGAATCAATACTTGTAACAAAAAAATCCCTTGGAATTCTCATGCAGATGAGCCACGGGTACTTACGGACTCTGGGTTGACGGGTAGCAGAAAAGCAGGAGCAACTTAGGAAAACAGACCTTTGGGACATGACTCTAGCGTGACTGATCGGCATGCCTGTCTGCCCCAAATCATTACATGTATTGCCTATGGCCTTCAGTTTTCAGTTTATTTTGTTTCATTGACTGAAATTCCATTAATCTGAAGTTCATTCACTGACTTAATAGTTAGCGTTTCCGAAAAATGCAGAGGCGATGTTAATTGTGGATACTTCAGTAAGAACTGAAGAAATGGAAAATTTGGAGGATACAGGGAGGTAGATCTGTTTTTGGAGCATGCCCACTTTAGATTTTAGAGGAAGTCTGGATAGGGTGGATAAGTCTCCCAGGGCTTAGGGAGAGGAGCATGTGGTTACTGGATGCCTAGAGAACAGAACAGTAAGAGGTTGCAGAAAGGTGACTGGAAGTTGCCAAAGAGAAACTTAAAAATGCTGATTGATGCATTTTGCATGTAGTGTTTTCATATTCCCCTTTTGCTCCCTCTGCTTTCTAATCTTTTCCCCTTATCAAAAGTAAGTAATTATCTGTTCTCAGTACTTACATGTTTACAGAAATGTATCTATAGCACTGTTATACTTTTGTTATTTCTATTTGCATTTAAAAAGTTAGGAGTGAGGAATTTGGTCTTGATAAAGAATTTTAGGCAACAGCTAACAGGCAGATCTGGTACTTTGGGGATGTGGTAGAGGTGCTGTCTTTCTAGTAACTGTAAAATCACACATCCATCTTTGGCCCTGAGATGGAGGAGGGCTGCTGGTATTGTTGATGAAACAGATTTTGATTCCCAGTCCTGGCCCTGTTTAAACGTTATCAGGCAGGCGAGGGGAGGGTGTAGCTCAGTGAAAGAGTGCATGCTTAGCATGCGTGAGGTCATAGTTCAATCCCCCAGTACCTCTGTTTAAGAAACAAACAAACCTAACTACCCCCCCTAAAGAGAACATTTTAAAGGTTGCCTGGGGGCTTTTTCAGTAAAATTCTTACGTACCCTCAGACCTGTTGATTTAGATTCTTTAAGGGATGAGCCCCAAGAATTCATTTTTAACTGCTGTGTGAGTGGTTCTAAAACAGAAAAGCAGAGGTAACTGAGAACCTACTAGGTAAGAAGAGGAAGAAAAAAATGGTGAAAGTTGTACCAATTACTCATTTATATGAATTGCTCATTACCACTGGTGCCTCATTATGATGTATCATAAAAATTGTATATGCACATCATCAAAACACATAATTTCACTTGAAAAAAATTTGATTTCATCTGTAAAATTATGTGAAAGTCAGGTGAAGTATAAGAGGATATAACTGATTCCAAAGATGAGTCTTAATGCTTTGTATTCATACTTTATATGTATAGTTTTCATAGTCTTCATAGCTGTTCAGTTTTTTGTTTTTAAAGAGAAAATGTTTTCTATCTGTAGTATTCCCCATATAAAGCCTAACTAAAATAAAATCTCACTCAGGAAACCAGAAGACAAAAGAAAACATTGAAGAAAACACGCAAATTTGTTGTTGATGGTGTAGAAGTGAGTGTAACAACGTCAAAGATAGTTACAGATAGTGATTCCAAAACTGAAGAATTGAGGTTTCTTAGGTGAGTAGAGAAACAACATAATTAAAACTGATTTTGTGACTTCTCAGTCTCTGCGGAGTCTGAAGAATAGAGAAACAAGAGTAAAGTCTTGTCTAATTTTGGATTATTCTTTTGTTACTTTTCCACTTGAAAAAAAAAGTTATTTTTGAAAGTTTTTTCTTTTAAAACATTACTTCAGAGATGTAATTTTTCCTGTCTTCCTCTGTCGTTGCCTTTAAATTTTATCAGACGTCAGGAACTTCGGGAATTAAGATTTCTTCAAAAAGAAGAGCAAAGAGCCCAGCAGCAGCTTAACAGCAAACTGCAGCAACAGCGAGAACAAATTTTCCGGCGTTTTGAGCAAGAGATGATGGTAAAGTCCTGGAATTTTGTACCATTTTGTTAATAATGAAATTTAGTGCTTAAAAAAAAAAACAATAACCCACTACTGGCAGGTTTTAGAACCTGTTCTCTGATTACTAGACTTCTCTGGCTTTGTGGTATATTTCAGGCCTTTAGCTTTTGGTGTTCTCGATGCTTTCTTTTCTCTTTCTTTTCCTTCCTTCCTTCCTCCCTTCCTTCCTTCCCCTTCCTTCCTTCCTTCCCCTTCCTTCTTCCTTTTCCTTCTTCTCTTTTCTTTTTGCCTGACATACTGTGTGGTGGGTGTCTTCATTTTCCTTTGATTAAAATCTGTCTTGAAAACCTGGAATCATGAAGCTAGTAGATGGTTTACGAAGTTCTTAGGTGTGCCTATCGCTGGATAATTTTTTATTGTTACAATTTGACCTCTCAGATCTAGAATCCAAGATTTCAATCCAGTCTAGAGAAGTTGTCTTCAAACTTGGCTGAGTATTAGAACTTCTTGGGGATTTTTCAAAATACTTCTCTGGCTACTACAGTTAGGCTTCCACATCCCTTTTCACAGCTGCTGGAGAAGTTAGTGCTTACTTGTCAAGGGTAATTGTCACTGAGTCTTTCAGTTTTTACCTTGTGTCCAAAATTGGAAAAGGAATTATTAATTTGATACAAAATTTCAATAACTTATATTGAACATCTAGCTTAACGTAGGTTAGAAAAAAGGTCATTTGAAATGTTACAGGATTCATGTTTTGAATACAGTTCTTTTGTTGTTCTTATAATTTTACGTGTTAAGGATTGTTTTGTGTGAAGTGTGGCATTGCTGATAATATATGTTGAATCATTACTGAGAATTGCTAAGAAAATAATGGATTTTTGTTCTCATTGAGTATTTTTATAGTACTTACATTCTGTTTTTTCAGAACCTTGTAAAAACTGTTTCTCCCCCCTCATATTTTCCAAAATGTTTTGCTTTTTGATTTTTTAAAAGAAAACACCCTTACAAATACTTAACTCTATATCTAAAGTTGCAGTGTTACTCAGGTGTTATATTGGCAGGAATCTTTTGTTGAAAGAGTAGAGTTATAATTCCAAAAGATTTCTTTCAATGAAATAGGAAGTTTATTTTAGGAATATTAATGAGGAAGAGTAAATCTGAAAATGGTACACTAGTAAAATAGACTTCAAATAAAACCTTTGATTTATCAAAAATCCAAAATTCTATAGGATAAATACTGAAATTTTTCTTACTTTAGTATTTCATAGCAACTGTGGATATTCTGGATTGTCTGAAAATTCTGAACATTCTACTTCTTGTAGAATAGAAAAAAGTATTTTCTATATTAGAAAAAAATGAAATGCTCATCTTTTTGAAAAAATTTTGAAACATATTTTAGTGCATTTGACTTGTTCAGTATTGCAAAGGATACAGATCACATCACTAAATTTAAATGCCAGTTGTATTCTCTTAGTAAACACTTTTAAAATAATGAGTTAATATAAGTGATAAAAAGAAGTTAAATGATCTTGAGCTACATCATTTTACAGAGCAAGAAGCGACAATATGACCAAGAAATTGAGAATCTAGAGAAACAACAGAAACAGACTATTGAACGTCTAGAACAAGAACACACAAATCGCTTGCGAGATGAAGCCAAACGCATTAAAGGAGAACAAGAGAAAGAGTTGTCCAAATTTCAGAATATGTTAAAGAACCGAAAGAAGGAGGTAAGTGTAACTACTGTTTTTAATCTACATTTAAGACTGAGGAATTAGGAATAATGCTTGCTAGTTAAATGGCACTCATCCATTCTTTCTTTCAGTGTCCCCAGCAGACCTGTAGGGTAGTGGTGAGGTCAGATCTTATCTCATTTTACTGCCAAGAAAACTGGAGTAGAAGAGGTTTTAATGGCCTGTTCAAGTTCACAAACTACCATTAATTGTCTAGCTAACCCTTGAATTAAGTCTTCAAATTGAGGCTAATCCATTTTCCTTTCAATCTATTGTTCCTCCTTTATTAATGCAACATTTAAGGCCTGATATAGTAATGTGTTTTTTCAAGAAAACGTACTATTTTCTGTTTGCAGGTGGTAACAAAAATTTATCTTAATTTTTATTTTCAGTATTTAATTCATACCTAAACATTTTTTTCTTGATTAGCTTGATGACCTTTTTTGGATGCTATGTCAAAACAAAAGCTGAGTAACCTGAAACTTGAGATAATATCTATAAGTTTATCACATTTTGAGTTACTTTGAAGACTCACAGGTGGAAGATATCTGTAAAGTCATTTGATTAGAATGAATTTTTAAATTTTTTTCTGAAACTGTTCCATATTGTCATAGAATCTATTTGTGGTATTATTTACTATGAAAGACTGTCATTAATTCAGAAAGAAGATTTACATATTAGTGTACCTTTTTCTTTTCAAATTAAAATATAAACTAAGTGAGCTTTACATATTAGCATTTTTCAGAAGTAATTTTATGATTTATTCTGTTCCTTTAGTGTAGGAGGAGAATTTACCTTTTCATGATATAGAAGACCCCCAGGACAATATTATGATCCATTCTATTAGAATTGGAACAGAAAAATCTCAAACTAATGAATACATTTTTCACTTTTGTTGCTTGTCCCAAATACTCAGATTAATTGATTTTAACAGTGAAATTATTCAGCATCATATTGCTGAACTTGAGGATTTTCTTTAAAAAAGAATCAAGTGTTAATAAATATAGTGCATTCTATGATTTCTTTAGGTAACGATGAGTAAAATGGTATATAATTTCATTTGATGTGGCTACCATTTCTAAAAATTACTGTTTTGTTACGTTTTATTGTATTTTATATAGAATTGCTCTATATATCGTGACATGACTTTACTGAGACTAAATGTTAATTTTCTTGAAACCATGTGTAGTTTTTATTGAGAGGTAATTTTTTAATATCAGATTAAGTTAAAAATTTTTTACAGAAGTATATGATTTAATTTTAGACATATAAAAGTCTCTAGTTATTACTGTCATGGGGTAGGAGAGATTTAGCCAGTGAACGTGTTTGATATCATGGCATGCATATTTTAAATAATTATGTATTTTTTTCCTTATTGCTAAACTTTTTGCATTGGGGAGTCTCTTCCTTTTAATGGTGATTTGGTTTCATGAGAGATTACTGATGGGAAATTTAAAATACACTATATTAAATCAAAATCAGTCTCTTTCACGGACCATCAATAGCATGTGGTGATTTGGAATCTGGTTGCTTTTGGTGCTTCTACTTGTAAACACTTGATCATTTTTCATAGCTGGATTACAGATCTATTATTAGGTGGAACGTATAAATAGGATTTTGTAATGATTAAAAGAAGGAGCTCTAAAATACACCTCGTTTAGTAATATACTTTATCTGGTATAATAAATCATAGCATACTAAACTATTATTTTATGAGCACTTAGTAATATTTTAAAGATTTTAAAGTTGACAATTGATTTTGGCTTAAATTATCATCAGAGGATTATCATCCAACAACCAACTTATGAGATATGTTCATTTTTAATCACACCATGTATATAAGATGGTGTTTTATGAAAAAAGAAACGTAGTGTCCATTTATCTCTCCTTTGTGTATTCCAAGGCTTACTTTCTCTTCTGGTCTCGTTAAGTGGGGTTTCATTTAGAATTATTTCTTTGGTTTTATCAAGCCAATTATGAAATTTTGCATTTTTATAAATGAATGGGATTAGTTTTCCTTATATCCAGTATTTCAAACAATGTCAAATATGTTTATAATTTTATAATCTTTCAAGGTCATTTGAATTTATCACCTTTAGTTCAGCATCAGCACCGCAAGTAATTCTTTACTGATTGTCTTTGGATCTTTAAGAGAGAAGATATGGAGGGATAATTAAGCAACTAATTAACTTTTATATGGTGTACTGTCTCTTTCTGCACTGAGATGAAGCATGTTCTATCCTTTCATTCTTTTTCACCAAACTAACACCTGTGCTAATGCATGTTGAAAGGAACTTTTTAACAGCTTTAATATTTGACTTGTAGCTTGTCTGCTCACATAAACGCTTGCTGTGGAGAAAGTATTTTTCCCCACCTCCTGCATGCTTATACACTGTAGGTTATAAATGAAGTGGAGAAAGCACCCAAAGAGCTGAGAAAAGAGCTCATGAAACGCAGGAAAGAGGAGCTTGCACAAAGCCAGCATGCTCAGGTAACAGCAGCAGCTTACTGCTACTAAAAACAGAAAGCGGCATTATTCTCACAGCTCAGTAAACCATAGTTGATAGGGTAAATTCTGTGCTTACTATATGATGTTGACTTCTCCTTGTACAGAGTTTCCCAGGGGATTCTTTATGTAGTTCTGAATTCACACTAACGGTGACATTTAAGTTGCTAATATGAAATTAAATAAAATGTTTGGAAAGTTGACTCCAGATGAAGTAAACATGTATGTTAATGTATAATCCACTGTTTTCTAATTTTAATCATGATGGAAGCTTGTATTTTTAAGTGGTAATGTCAATGTTTGATAGAAGACTTTTAGAACAGAAAAATATAGGGGGTGAGTATATAAGCTTTGTGCATGTGAAAAGAATGCCTATTAAAAGGCCATTAATTCTATAAAGTTCAAAGTTCAAAGAAAAATGGTAAATGATAATGTTAAATGATAGATCAAACATATATTACTATTAATAAGATAAGTAACTTAGTCAGACTTTACGTATTAAATATTTGATACCTTTTTTCTTGATTCAGAATATAGCAGTTACAAAAATAGACAATTTTTACTTATATATACTTGATTCTAGGTTATGATAAAGCTGAGCCAATTAATTAGTGAATTATTTACAAAACTGTATAAATTGTATTTTCAGCAGAGTTTTCTAGAATTATCCCACATGATTCTATGAGGTCTTTTATACTTGGAATTGCCTTTCTTTTAATTAAGTTTGTACTCAGCCTGGAGGCAAAGAGAGAAGTGAGCTCAGTTTGTAGTTACAGATGTTAACGAAAGGAAAGAGACATGGATTATATATTAATTGTTGCTTTAAATTATCCTTTAATGTAATTTTATGCAGTTTAAAAAAGTGATTCCTAGACTTTTGAATTTTACATATTTATGAAAAGAAACATAGAAACAACAAAAACCATTGGGGTCTATGACAAATGGATTGCCATTAAAATTTTTTTTTATTTTTGTTGAGTAAGAATATTTTGAAACTGCTTTGCTTATTACCATCATTTCAATGAAGAGACTATTTTAATGCCATGAAAAATAAGGAAAATACCTGAGAATTTAAAATTTTAATAAAACTAGCCTATTTGAATAAATTGGTTTTTTCCCTTTCTGTGAGTGAGCCAGTGAAGAATCTTGTCCTGGCTTAGTATCGGAATTGCTACAGGCACACCTTGATCTGTTGCTCTTCACGTTATATGCACTTTTGCAGTACTGTGTTTTTTTTAACAAATTGAAGGTTTATGACAACTCTGCATTGAGCAAGTCTATCAGCACCATTTTTCCAACAGCGTTTGCTCACTTCATGTCTCTGTGTCACGTTTTGGTAATTCTCACAATGTTTCAAGCTTTTTCATTAGTACTGTATTTGTTATGGTGATCTGTGATCTTTGATGTTAATGCTATGACTTGCTGAAGGCTCAGATGATAGTAAGCATTCATTAGGAACAAACTATTTTTTAATTAAGTTATGTACATTGTTTTTTTTTTAGATGATGCTATTGCACTTAATATACTACAGTATAGTGTAAACATAACTTATATATTCACTGGCAAACCAAAAAATTCATGTGACTTGCTTTATTGCAATATTTGCTTTACTGAGGTGGTCTGGAGCCAAACCTGCAATATCTCCAAGGTATGCCTGTAGTTGATTATAGCGAACAAGGCATTTACTATGTGTGAGATCTGTTCTAAATGCTTTACCTATATGAACTCATTTAACCTTACAACATATGAGGTAGTTACTCTTGTTACCCCCATTCTACAGGTGAGGGAACTAAAGCACAGGAGGTAGAGTGACTCTCCCAAGTTCACACACTGGGTTAGTTGTAGAGCCAGAATTTTCATCCAGGCAAGTTTGGCTCCTTGTTTCATACACTGAACCACTGCCTCATGGTGCCTCTCATATTTAAGCTACCTCTTCTGTGCCTAATCTAAACTTTTACTGGCTTGCCCACTGGCTGTTGACCATGACTTTTTAATAGATGAAGAGGAGGTCCTTGCTGGCCACATGTTGTCTATTTTTGGGTAATTTGAATTTCAAACCAATTAACAACTTGGTTTTGCCTTGAAAAGGAATATAGAGTTTTTTAATTCCAAAAGATAGTATGTTAGACTCTGGAGTCAAAATTGAGAATTTAGTGTCAAACAAATTAGATGATCCTGTGCTTCAATAAAACTTTGTTGGTGATTTTTCATATAATATGAGGGGTTAGCCAGTATTTTCCAACTAAAGCTGGAAACGATAGTAAATTTCTTTTTGTAATTTTAATGGAATGTAGTAGTCTAACAGATTTCAAAAATATTTCTATTTAGCTACTGCGTTTGCTGAATAAAACTTGGTAACTTTGCAGAGTCTGATATTTTAAACTTTTTTGAGAATTTATAAATAATAGCTGTATATTCATGGAGCTAGAATGTATTTGATCATCTAGTCCAGTGGTTTTCAAACTGTATTCCCAGGAGCTCTTGGGTTTGTAAGAAGCACCTCGAGAATCCTTCACAAAGTGAGGACAGCAGGGCTCTGGGCCCCTGCTTCCACTTCAGCTAAAGCAGCATCACTTTTCATCTGTTTTATAAACAGATTTTTGGGGTGAGTTTTTTAAAAAGAGAGTTCAGCTGGTTTAAAAAACAATGGCAGCAAACTAGAGTTTGGAAACCACTAATCTACTTCAGATCCTTCATTTTACATATGAGAAAGAGGCCTCTTTGTTAAGTGACTTGTTACAGGCCTCAAGAAACTCAACATTTGTATAATTACTCCTTCCATTTACAAAAAGTCATTTGGCTTTATTCTCACCTGGGAGGTGCATTGTATTCTGATCCACAGGGCGTTGCTCAGGTCATGATTCAGTCTTTTCAGTTGTCATCCTGTGCAGTCTTCAACGCCCAAATGCAGGACGTAAGTCCCACGTGCCTTGTAGGAGGATGAGTTCTTCTGTTTTACTTGCTTTTTCTTTGGCTCACATGTGTCTTTTCATTTTCATTTGTTACAAATCTAGAAGATTGATAGATGATAATGTCAGTAATGACAATAGTAATAACCTGACTTGAACTTTACAGTACAGTATTCTTCGAAGAGTTTTCAAATTTGATTCCACTGCCAACCCCTATTATCGGGATGGACTGTGTCCATTTTACAGATGAAGAAATTGAGGCACAGAAGACTAAGTGATTTGCCTAAAGTCACAAAAGAGATTAATTGTAGAGCTGGAATTAGAACACTTCTACTGCAGTGTTCTTTTTTCTGTCTACCCCGCCAAGAAATATCTTTCCAGTAGTATTTTATGAGCTTTGCACATGTGAGAAATTGAATGCTGTGATTAGATTTTTATCTTTGTGTGACGTGGCATTTTGATTGCATATGTGTTTATGTAGATGTCTTAATTATGGGTATGGTCAGAAAAGAAAGCCATGTTAAAAGTGGTGATTTTAGTTCCACTTAGTTTTCACTATTCATATTGTCCATAATGAATAGTGGGTTACTGGTCTCCTTGCTGTAGTTTTACATTAAGTCTGGAATTCCAAGCTGTATTCTTTCTCACAGTTTCTGTAGGGAAAAGACTAGCTCACTTAACACTGTAAGTTTTGTTTGTGATGTTTGATATACACAACTGGAGTAGATAGAGTACAGCTTGAATACAGCCCCTCCTTTCCCCTCTCCTGGAATTACTTGTTTATTTTTTTTATTATTGGCAGCCATTGGACTCTTTATCGTTTTCTTAAAGAGTAAGCAAAACGTTAATTTTTTTGACGAGAGGGAGAAATTAAGAATTACGATCACTTTTCTGATCATTACCGTTCTTAGCTTTTCTTTTAAAAAGATCAAATTCTGTACAAATAGCGCCATATATCATAACCCTTTCTTACAGTTTTCTAGAACCCAAAGCTGTATTTTAATGTTCACAGTTATCTAATATGTTAAAATTCCTTATCGGAATTGAAACTTGTACATTTCAAGGGCACTCATTTTGCCATTTATGTGTCCATTTTGAAGTTGTTACTTCTAGTGATCAACTCAACCTATTAATTTTTTTTAATGAAGGTAATTTATGCAATCTTTTTGGAATGTAAGATCACGTTTCTTTTAGATCCTAGGAGTAATTTCAAATTACAGATTCCACTGTGAATGTTTTATACTTGCCTTCTGAAGTTAAGACATTTAATGAAAGGTCAATAATATAAATTTTTATTTCTTTTGTGGTAATAAAATATATTAATTAGTGTGTAAGAGACCTTTTAGGTAGTTTTTAGCTTTAATATAAAAAATCAGTTGTACAGTATCCTTGACTATGTAATCACCTACACTCTGCTTAATTATTCTAGTCCATAGCTCTGTAAGGCAGCTGATGTATTTGCAGACTCTGACTGTTAAGGAGCGCTTCCATACGCTGCCTGCCTTGACTCTTACCTGGGGGTCCTTATTTTGTCTTCTGGAGCAGCACAGTGCTAGTTTTGCCTGCTGCTATATAAGCCTTAGCTCTTTTTTTCCTCTTATACATTGGCTGCTTCAGGGCATGCTTTTGTAGTTCTTTGTCATTCACTGTGTGTCTTTGTTTCTGAACCCTTTATTCCTTGCTTTGAGTTTTCTCTGGTTTATTTTTGAAGTGTTGAAAGTTTTATACTAAAGGAAGGGGCCCATTACTGTTTATGTGGACTGACAGATAAAACCAGTTTGGGACCAACAGAGTAGAAACTCCTTGAAGGCAGTACTGTCTTGATTAATTTTGGTAACCCTGTAAGTAGTGCAGTGTCTAGAATTTACTAAGTGCTTAATAAAAGTTTTCTTTGAATTAGACTCTTATCTTGCTTAATTTAGATATAAATATAATAATATGACCCAAAATTGCATTGATGAGAAACCACGTTCACTTGTTTGGTAACAGTGGCTTATACTATACTTGAACAACTTGGATGTTGGGGTGCTGACCCTCTGTGCAGTTGAGAATTCACGTATAACTTTACAGTGGGCCCTCCATGTTTGTGGTTCTGTGTCTGCACATTCAGCCAACTGTAGATTGTGTAGTCCACTAGTACACAGTTAGTGAGAAAAGTCCACATTTAAGTTCAAACCTGTGTTGTTCAAGGGTCCACTATATTTACCTTTTTTATTTTCACATAAATATTTTATTTGCCCCATCTTTTACACTTGATTTCTTTGAGTCTAAATGTAGTGTTTTATTTATAATTTGGATCCATTATTTCTGTCCACACAAATACTTTATAAAGTTCTTTATGCAAACCAATCGTAAACATGTTGAACAAAAGAAAACTTTTGATACATCTGCAGGTTATATTGTTTATTAAACAAGTTTGCATATAGAAATTTTACAGTGAAATTAGAGAATCAATTTAATTTTTATTACAAATGGTATTTACTATAGGGAAAAGAGAAGCTTGAACAACTTAGATTGTTACAACTGCTTACAAGATAGGATGGAGATTTTGCATCTCTAAAATTCAACAGCCTTGTTCTAGATAGTTGAATTTAAATATGTATTGAGTTTGTTTCTTTTATTTTTTTGCTGTGATTAAGTTACTTAGGTGACTGTAGTCAAGTTGGCAGTTGTATTTTAGGGAGACAATTCATTAGTTTTTCTATTACTGTATATTTGTATTTATGCTAAAATACACATCATGATGCAGATGAGACAGCAGCATTTTTGATGAGAAATTACTTTAACAGGATGTTGTGGGATGGTAAGATCTGATTCTTACTTGCAGAGAAACAGTGAGACAAGCATCTTGAGGAACACTGCTAGACTCACTCTTTGTGCCCTGAGCACCAGACTGGTATTGATCCACATCCTTTCAGACTGTCCAAGGCCTAAAAAATAGTTTCGAAATGGATCTTGGGATTTTATCATCTCTTGGATCTGCAAGAGGAAGGATTATAGGTGAAGTGCTGCTTCAACCCTAAATTCCCAAATCCACAGTTAAATTGATCAGAATATCCTTTGAGCTAATCAGAAACTGCTATAACTGCCAAGAGAGGGATGGAGATGCAAACATTTACTGGCAAAATTTGCATTTCTTTGATTTGGATATTGTTCCTTTCCTTCTGTAAATGTATGATTTAGCATAGAGACCAGAAGTCATTTTAACCTTTTCTTTTCTTACATAGTAATTGAAAAATTTTTTTTTAAGTATAGATCTGGCATTTGTACAAATAGTATTTGCTCAGTAAATATTGAGTGAATGAGTGGATCCCAAACATTTTTGTAGAACTCTCTGATTATAAGGAATTTGTTTATAGAATTACAAAACTAGTTCTAGTTCACATTTCTCTAGCAATGCATCATTTCTCATTAAGTCCTTAAAGTATTATTCTTTTTAGACGTAGGCTGTAGATAAATAAACTGTCTTTCTCTATTTAGTGCAGCCATGGTGTTTCTTCCTAACTCCGTATTATTAGAAAAATAGAGAGTTTTAAATCCCGATATCTAATTTACTTACTTGCTCTTTTTTGCCATTCTTTCTAAAAGGCATTTCTTGTTTATCCTTGTTTTAGCCACACTGCAGTGGAATGAATAGTCAGTTTTAGAAGCTGTAAATTAATTTTTTTCCTAAAGATGTTAGTGTAATAGAGCATTTTAATCATGAGTGGGTTATTGACTTCTTTTGTGTGTATTATTCTTAACAGTGAGTTTAGAATATTATGTATTCTAGTACTTTCTGGGTTTGAATTGGGTGACTAATACATTTATATTGTGTCTATACTGTATAATTTTGGTGATTTTTAAATCTAGTTAACTTCAAAAACTTGATTCAGAAATCTTGTTAACCACTAACATATACAGTCAGGTAGATAAATGGATCTTTCGCTCAGTAGATACTTATTAACTGCTGGTTAACTATGTCTAATAGGAACAAGAGTTTGTTCAGAAGCAACAACAAGAATTAGATGGCTCTCTGAAAAAGATCATCCAGCAGCAGAAGGCAGAGTTAGCCAACATTGAAAGAGAGTGTCTGAACAACAAGCAGCAGCTCATGAGAGGTGTGTGGAATTACGCAGCATGTGTGTGTATATCAGATATCTCAAAACGTTGCAGAGATACATACCTTGGAAATTATTTGAATGTTTTCCTTTGCTACAATGATAGAGGGAAAGATTAAGAAAGTTGAGGTAAAGAAGAGGGAAACAACTTTTTAAAATTAAGAAATACTGCAAGATCTAGGGGGAGGAAACAGCTCAGTGGTAGAGCACATGCCCAGCGCGCACAAGGTTCTGGGTTCAATCCCCAGGACCTCCGTTAAATGAGTAAATAAACCTAATTACTCTCCCCCCCCAAAAAAACCCCATAAATACTGCAAGGTATAGAATTCCTTTATGGCAATAGAAGTGAACATAATCCTTAAAACATCTTTTTGTCCAGGTGATGCTAGAAATATACCTGAATAATTTTATTTACTCATTATGCCTTATAATGTTGGTATACTTAATTGGCTACATGATAGGATGGAATTTTAAGCACTTATTTCCCCTAACAAATACCGTAGACTTTTTTTCTTTCTTACTGAGATGATTACATGGAATTTTGATATTGGAGCGGGGCATTCACTGTTTATAGGACATTAGAACAGGATGGATATTATCTTTACATTGGTAATATTTATAACTCAAAATGTCCATGTGTGTATGTCAGTGTATTAAGACACTTTTATGTAAATATTGAAGGCCGAAGTACATTAGTAAAAAGAGCAAAGTGACATTTTGAAAATTGCTTTCTTCTCCTCCTAGCTCGAGAAGCTGCGATTTGGGAGCTTGAAGAACGACACTTACAAGAAAAACACCAGCTGCTCAAACAGCAACTTAAAGATCAGTATTTTATGCAAAGACATCAGCTACTTAAGCGCCATGAGAAGGTTAATGAAAGGAAAATTTGTTCACTTTTTTGTTCATTTTAAAGTTTGCAGAGCTATTTATCTTTGAAACTTAGGCTTCTTAGAGGATACCTTTTAGATTTTGTTTCTTTCTTTTATCC